GTGTTCAGCACACTCGGACTTTGAAGATTAAAACTTACTGTTTATTAAATATCCATTAAAAGATCAACGTTTCAGTTCCATCTGGAACTTTCATCAGGATCAGGCATACAATATCACATAAAAAAGTGCATTTATATACATAAAATGTAAGTGAAATTAACAGAAAATGACTTACCCCTGTGCTTAGAATGGTGGGTGTGATTCCCCTGGCGTCCACCATCATTCCGTGCGCATGCGCGGATGAGGCCACGCCCCTACGTAACGTGATGACGTTGCGCGTTGCCGCGGCAACGTTGAAACCACGTGGGGTGTAAACAAGGAAGTGACTGCATGTATATCCGGCTGCCATAGCAACCCGGTTCTATATCAAATAGCATGAAAAAATACAAGTACCACTTGATATAAACAAAGCACACTTACAATTGAGGTATTAAATGGAAAGAAAAGAGTACAAAGATATATAATAGTACAATTGTGTGCTAAAAGTGCACTGTGAAGTATAGATGCTTAATCTATTTAATAATAATATTGATATTAATATTAAGATGGCACTTGAAAAAGCCTAATTTACCTAAAGTGCCAATGTGGACATTATAAAGTGCTGTGGGATAAATCAGTGTATAAAAGTTATACTGAAGTGTGTATCTATTATTAATGTGCCATACTATTATGTTAATAATATACAAAGTGCAAAAAGTGCTAATTCCATGCTATAAAGTGCAAAAAATGTGCATAATTCATGTGCAATTACTACTTCAATAATAAAACATTATTTATAAAAACATCCACTGATATATTGCTATTAAATTGAATCAATATATCAAATGTCCATCTGTAAGAATACAAAATAATTAAGCTAAAAAATGAAACTATTACATACTTTAAAAACATTACAGGGAGTGCAGAATTATTAGGCAAGTTGTATTTTTGAGGATTAATTTTATTATTGAACAACAACCATGTTCTCAATGAACCCAAAAAACTCATTAATATCAAAGCTGAATATTTTTGGAAGTAGTTTTTAGTTTGTTTTTAGTTTTAGCTATGTTAGGGGGATATCTGTGTGTGCAGGTGACTATTACTGTGCATAATTATTAGGCAACTTAACAAAAAACAAATATATACCCATTTCAATTATTTATTATTACCAGTGAAACCAATATAACATCTCAACATTCACAAATATACATTTCTGACATTCAAAAACAAAACAAAAACAAATCAGTGACCAATATAGCCACCTTTCTTTGCAAGGACACTCAAAAGCCTGCCATCCATGGATTCTGTCAGTGTTTTGATCTGTTCACCATCAACATTGCTTGCAGCAGCAACCACAGCCTCCCAGACACTGTTCAGAGAGGTGTACTGTTTTCCCTCCTTGTAAATCTCACATTTGATGATGGACCACAGGTTCTCAATGGGGTTCAGATCAGGTGAACAAGGAGGCCATGTCATTAGATTTTCTTCTTTTATACCCTTTCTTGCCAGCCACGCTGTGGAGTACTTGGACGCGTGTGATGGAGCATTGTCCTGCATGAAAATCATGTTTTTCTTGAAGGATGCAGACTTCTTCCTGTACCACTGCTTGAAGAAGGTGTCTTCCAGGAACTGGCAGTAGGACTGGGAGTTGAGCTTGACTCCATCCTCAACCCGAAAAGGCCCCACAAGCTCATCTTTGATGATACCAGCCCAAACCAGTACTCCACCTCCACCTTGCTGGCGTCTGAGTCGGACTGGAGCTCTCTGCCCTTTACCAATCCAGCCACGGGCCCATCCATCTGGCCCATCAAGACTCACTCTCATTTCATCAGTCCATAAAACCTTAGAAAAATCAGTCTTGAGATATTTCTTGGCCCAGTCTTGATGTTTCAGCTTGTGTGTCTTGTTCAGTGGTGGTCGTCTTTCAGCCTTTCTTACCTTGGCCATGTCTCTGAGTATTGCACACCTTGTGCTTTTGGGCACTCCAGTGATGTTGCAGCTCTGAAATATGGCCAAACTGGTGGCAAGTGGCATTGTGGCAGCTGCACGCTTGACTTTTCTCAGTTCATGGGCAGTTATTTTGCGCCTTGGTTTTTCCACACGCTTCTTGCGACCCTGTTGACTATTTTGAATGAAACGCTTGATTGTTCGATGATCACGCTTCAGAAGCTTTGCAATTTTAAGAGTGCTGCATCCCTCTGCAAGATATCTCACTATTTTTGACTTTTCTGAGCCTGTCAAGTCCTTCTTTTGACCCATTTTGCCAAAGGAAAGGAAGTTGCCTAATAATTATGCACACCTGATATAGGGTGTTGATGTCATTAGACCACACCCCTTCTCATTACAGAGATGCCCATCACCTAATATGCTTAATTGGTAGTAGGCTTTTGAGCCTATACAGCTTGGAGTAAGACAACATGCATAAAGAGTATGATGTGGTCAAAATACTCATTTGCCTAATAATTCTGCACTCCCTGTATTCCTATTGCTTTGGGGGTTCTTAATTTAAAGAAACGAATGATAAGAAATCAATTCATTAAGTCCTTTGGGAGCAATCGTATTCAATTGAAAAATCCATTCTGTCTCTCTATTGAGAAGCATTTTGCCACGATCACCCCCTCGCCTGGGTATAGGGATATGATCTATTGCAATAAATTTCAAGGAAGAGAGTGGGTGTTTCATTGTCAAAAAATGTTGTGCCACAGGTTGTTCTGAATGTCCATCTCTATATGCCACACGTATTGCTGACCTATGTCCACGTATTCTCTCACACAATGGGGTTTCGGTTTTACCGATATAAACTAACCCACATGGACATGTTAATTTATAGATCACAAAAGGTGTTTTGCACGTAATTGTGTGGTGTATCCTAAACACCCTGTTGCTGTGTGGGTGTTGGAATGATTTTGCTGGAGTCATATGGCTACATGTAACGCACCCTAAACAACGGACACTACCACGATGTTGAAATTTTACTTCTTGGCTGTAGCTTTTAATGGGGTCCGTGTGTACCAATATGTCCTTTAATGTTTTGTTTCTCTTGAAACAAATTAACGGATTTTCCTTAAACACTTTGGGTAAGGTGTCGTCACTTGCAAGCATTTTCCAATTTTGTTTGACAATTTTAGCTATTTTGGGCGAAGCATCATTATAAGCCATTGGAAACACTATAGCTGGTGGTTTTCTGATCCGTGTGGTGGTACTAGCATTACGTGCATCTTGTTGTGCCTTTAACAACTCCTGTCTATGATAGCCTCTTTCAAGAAATTTCTTGTTCATTTCTTCCAACTGTTCTTCCATCTTATGTTCATCTGAATTATTGCGTACGACTCTTAAGAATTGTGCCTTAGGAAGGGATTTTTTCAGCATTCTCGGATGTGCACTTTTATTGTGCAACAATGTATTCCGGTCAGTATCTTTCTTATACAAACAATATGTCACACCATGTTCTTTAATAGATATCTCCAAATCTAAATATTGGACCATGCTTGTACTAATATTGGATGTGAATCTGACTGGAGTATTGAGTTCATTTAAATATTGAACCATTTGCTGTGCCTCCAATTCCGTGCCTTTCCAAAAGATCAACAAATCGTCGATGTAACGAAAGTATGCCGTAATAAGATGGTTGAATTTAGACAAAATATGTTGTTTCTCATAAATGTACATATAAGAGTTGGCATACATGGGGGCCATCGCTGCCCCCATGGACGTGCCCGCCACCTGTAGAAACCAGTCGTCCTCAAACCTGAAATAGTTATGTTGGAGGGTTAAAGATAACAGTTCCAATACATATTCTATTGGTGGTCCATCATATGTAGTAGCCATGCAAAGAGTTTGTCTCATAGCTTCAATTCCTTCTTGATGTGGAATTATTGTGTAGAGATTACTAACATCCATTGTAATCAAAATGATGGGTTCCTTACCAAAGTTTAATGTATGCATTTTCTTTATAAGTGTCGGAGTATCCTTAATGCAAGATCCTTAATCCTTAATGCAAGTTTGTATCTCTGCTATAGGTGCTTGAAACAAGGAGTCCAGCCATTTTGCTATTGGTTCCAAGATGCCTCCTATTGCTGATACTATAGGTCTCCCCGGTGGTTTAATGGGATTCTTATGTATCTTTGGTATAGTATATATAATTGGAGTCTTTGGATTCCTTTTCAATAGATAGTTGTATAGTTGTAAATCTATAAAACCTGCTTCAAGTCCCATAAAGAGAGTGTTCTCTATAATTGTTGCTATTTTCTTTGTTGGATCACCTTGTAACTGTAGATATATGTTTGAAGGCAGTGGTGTGGTTATATATAATGGTGGAGTTTGTATGTAGTGTTGACGTTGAAATGCAGGGGTGTATTTGTGTGTAGCGTTGGCGAGATTCTGAGATGTATGCACATATACACATACACACACCTAAATACACACTGACACACATGCAGACACATAGGAACAATATATAGGGGGTGGGCACATAAGATACCACAATCCAAACTGAGGGGGCACTAAAACTTTTCGCTAGGGGATGGGGTAATGTGCTGCCATTGGCTGCCTGATGCCAGCATGCAGTGCACATTAGCATCAGTCAACAAATTTGCATATAATTCACATTAGCCACCCAGATTTCTTGTTCGTAGGTTAGCTGACACCTCTTAACGTCAATCTTTGTTTATCAGATAACTCCCTTATTTGCTATCCTTATTTGGGATTGCCATATTTAAGGACACCAAATAAGGATAAGGGAGCTATCTGCTAAACAGCACGCTAATTTGGTATCTTTAAATATAGAAATCTCACATAAGGACACCAATTTAGAGAATTATCAACTAAACAGCTAAAATATCAATTTAAAAAAACAAAAAACCTTTTCTTAATTTCAGTTGTTTAGTAGATAACGCCCTTATTTGTTATCCTTATGTGGGATTGCAATATTTAAGGACACCAAATAAGGGAGCTATGTACCAAACACATACACATTTATATACACACACACAATAACACAATAGGTGTATGTCTGTGTGTATATCTGTGATTGTGTGTGTGTGTGTGTGTGTGTGTGTGTATGTATATATATATATATTTATATATATATATATACATACACACACACACACACACACACACACACGTGTGTATGTATGTGATGTTTGCGTATTTATATCTAATTATGTGTGTTTGTAATTGTATGTGTGTGGGTCTGTGATTATGTATGTATGTGTTTATGTGTGTGGTTGTGTGTGTGTGTGTATATATATATATGTATATATATATATATATATACACACAAAAACACTTAACTACAGAGATACACACACAACCACATACATAAACACAGACATACACAATAACAGACCCACACACATACAATTACAAACACACATAATTAGATGTACACAAGCAAACATCACATACATACACACATTTAATAATTAAGAGGTCCACCCAGCCTCCCTACCTTGCTCTGGGAGGGCTAGAGTGGATCCTCATCTCTGGTAGTCAGTGGTTGCTGCTGGGATCTATGTGCTCTTCATGCACACGTCCCTTGCACATCCTGTAATATGACGCCGATGTTTGGATGATGTTATGTGCTGACTTACTGCAGGGCGAAGACAGTCAGATATAGTCAGATGTACACAGTTATATGCATATACTGTCAAATACAGCCACATGCACACGGTACCAAACACATAGTCACTTGCACACTGTGAAACGCACAGCTGCAGGTAGACAGTAACACACACAGTTACAGACAGACAGTCACACACACACAGCTACAGGCAGACAGTCACATACACACACACACACACACACACACAATTACAGGCAGACTGTAACATAGTTACAGGCAGCACACAGTCACACACACTCAGTGACATGCAGACAGTCACACACAGTCACAGGCAGACAGTCATACACAGTCTCAGGTAGACAATCACAGGCAGGCATTCATACATACAGGCACAGGCAGACAGTCATACACACAGTCACCAAAAGTCAGTCTCACGCACAGTCACAGGAAGACAGTCACACTCAGTCCCAGGTAAACTGTCACAGGTAGACATTCACAGGCATAGACAGTCACAGTCAGATAGTCACAGATGCAGTCCCAGGTAGACAGTCACAGGCAGACATTCACACACAGTAACAGACATTTATAGGGAGACAGCCATAGACGCAGTCACAGGCAGACAAACACACAGTCGCAGGCAGAGAGTTACAGGCAGACAGTCACAGACACAGTCACGGGTAGACAGTCACAGGCAGACATTTACACACACAGGCACAGGCAGACAGTCACAGACTCAGTCACAGGTAGACAGCCACAGGCAGACATTCACACATAGTCACAGATAGTCACAGGTAGACATTCACACACACGGTCACAGATAGTCACAGGCAGACATTCACACACACAGTCACAGATAGTCACAGGCAGACATTCACGCACACAACACAGATAGTCAGTCACAGATAGTCACAGGCAGACATTCACACACACAGTCACAGAGAGTCACAGGCAGACATTCACACACACAGTCACAGATAGTCACATGCAGACATTCACACACACACAGGTAGACATTCACACACAGTCACAGACATTTACAGGGAGACAGCCATAGATGCAGTCACAGGCAGACAAACACACAGTCGCAGGCAGAGAGTCACAGGCAGACAGTCACAGACACAGTCACGGGTAGACAGTCACAGGCAGACATTTACACACACAGGCACAGGCAGACAGTCACAGACTCAGTCACAGGTAGACAGCCACAGGCAGACATTCACACATAGTCACAGATAGTCACAGGCAGACATTCACAAACACAGACACAGATAGTCACAGGCAGACATTCACACACACAGTCAAAGATAGTCACAGGCAGACATTCACACACACAGTCAAAGATAGTCACAGACAGACATTCACACACACAACACAGATAGTCAGTCACAGATAGTCACAGGCAGACATTCCCACACACAGTCACAGATAGTCACATGCAGACATTCACACACACACACAGGAAGACATTCACACACACAGTCACAGATAGTCACAGGCAGACATTCACACACACAGTCACAGATAGTCACAGGCAGACATTTACACACACAGTCACAGATAGTCACAGGCAGACATTCACACACACAGTCACAGATAGTCACAGGCAGACATTCACACACACAGTCACAGATAGTCACAGGCAGACATTTACACACACAGTCACAGATAATCACAGGCAGACATTCACACACACAGTCACAGATAGTCACAGGCAGACATTCACACACACAGTCACATATAGTCACAGGCAGACATTCACACATACACAGGCAGACATTCACACACAGTCACATATAGTCACAGGCAGACATTCACACACATAGTCACAGATAGTCACAGGCAGACATTCACACACACAGTCACAGATAGTCACAGGCAGACATTAACACACACAGTCACAGATAGTCACAGGGACTCCTTCCTGCTTCCCCTCAATGGGGCAAATGGAGGCTTTCTGTAGCTCCGCCCCCACATCCGGTTTGGCTCCTCCTCCACGGCCGAGTTGGCCCTACCCCCAATTCTCTGTGCAGTACTTCTGTACTGCTGAATTCCCAGCCCCTGCGTGTGTGAGCTGCGTGGCTCCCGGCATCCTGTGCAGCCACACAGCTCACAGAGTCACAAGCCTGGCCCCGGACCGCCCCCCACTCCCCACCCCGCCTTAGTACGCCACTGGTCATACCTCCAGGGAATATACATTCACATTGTAAAAAAAATAAAATAATTAATCGAACACAACTTCTTGGGGTTATAACCTCAACCTTGGAACCAGAAGTATAAAAAAAAATACCATTTGCGTTTTTACATTTAATAAAGATAAATTATAATAGAAATTGTCTACAGCGCCGATCATCACCCAAACTATGCAATCTCATATGACACTTATAGTGAAAAGTAATTGTAGCGTTCTGCTCAGCCAGAATGTTTTGAAGAGTCTAAATAGATGCAGATATTATTCTAAAGACTGGTTTAATGCATCGAAGAGACTGAAGCAGTGCTATCTGGAACGGCCACTTGTTAGTTACAGATGTCAGGAGAGATTTTGTGATTGTGATGCTGCTATTTGCTGGAAGGATGAGGAGGGAAATGCACCTACGGTGATTCAGAAATGTAGTTTCTGTGAATTTCAGCCTGCTACACATTTTATAAGCATGAGGTCAGATGTCCTGGCAGCGCTTCTGAGAACTCTAATCGTATCTGCTAAACGTAACAGCCGTCTTGGAAGAGAATCTAAGAAATATCTTGTGGTTGCTAATAACTTATCTTATCACAAGCAATTGCAATTTGCAAGATGGCAAATAAATTACAATTATTTTTGATTTGCAATATTTAACAATACTAAATATTGTACTACTACTTTCTGTTTGTTTTAATCATTCATAAATGCCGCTTTTTATGTAATCAAATATATTATAGATTATACATTTTAGCCTTTTCTCATTATTGCTTATATACACGTAGAGTATTTCAAACCCTTACAATCTAATTAGCCTTAAAAAGAGAAAACATTAAGTAAGGTAGCTGCACTGTTGTATGGTGTAAAATAAATAATTTTAAAAAACTGTTGAAAACACATATGCACTCAAAGGAACACTATAGGGTCAGGAACACAAACATGTATTCTGGATCCGTTAGTATTAAAACACCATTTAGCATCCCTGCCTCCCTTGCCCCCTAAATATAGTAAAATATTACCTTTATTCCAGTCTGCTGGTGCTGGCTCTGCTCCTGTTCTGCCCTCCTTGGCTGACATCATCAGAAGTGGTGATATCAGCCAATCACAATGTTTCCAATAGAAAACGATTGACTGAGATTGTCAAGGAGGCAGGTCAGGGACAGAGTCAGCACAAGCCAAACTCAGCCCTGGCCAATCAGCATCTCCTCATAGAGATGCATTGAGTCAATGCATCTCTATGAGTAAAGTTCAGTGTCTCCATGTAGAGGGTGGAAACACTGAATGTCAGTCACACTGTGCAGCACTGCCCCAGGAAGCACCTCTACCAGCCATCTGAGGAGTGTCCACTGGAGGTGTCCCTAGGCTGTAAGGTAAACACTACCTTTTTTCTGAAAAGACAGTAAGTACATGACAATTACTACAGGGACTGACTATAGACACCATAATAACTACATTAAGCTGTAGTTTTTCTGGTGACGATAGTGTCCCTTTAATGAAAGGACAGTACCAAGAGACTGCAGGTACTATAACTAGTTCAATAAGATGAAATGGTTTTAATGCTTACATTGTTCCTTTAACATAAATAATGTGTGAACAATCTTGTACTGGGATGAATATACAATAACATAAGTACAGAAATGAAAGTGTCATTGAAAAGATAGACTACAGAACGTTCTTGTTTCATAATGAAAAAGTGCTAAATAAAAAATGAATACACTTTCTACTTCCTAGGAGAACTTTTTCTTCATATATTTACTACTACCTGCCATTGCATGTTACTTTGATTTTCATGAAAACATCATAATGTGATGTCATAAATGTACCTTTTTATTGTCTGCAGGAATTTGTGGAATTGTATTTTGTTTTTTAGAAGTATAAAGTAAAACTTTTCTAAGGATGATCTCAAAATATATATATATATATGAAAAATAAATAAATCAAAGTTACCCTTGCATTGTAGTATAATGTGTTTTTGAGATCGCCAACATAAACAGCAACACTGTAAATTGAGATAGATTTGATTGTCTAGATAGTTATTGGTAACAATAAAGGAGTACTGCATTTTCCATTCTGACCAGTCTAGCACACAATAGAAACCCTTACCTCTCTTCTGATAGGCTTTAGGGCATTCCACCAGGTCAAACTAGTTTAATTTGCATCTATATAAGGAACTGTGACCAGACTGTTGAGTGCGGGACCAGCTTGTAGCCAGATTGTAATCACTGCGTGACTGAATCCTGACCAGGGTCCAGATTGTTCAGGCTGACCAGATTATCACCAGGGTCTGAATTGTCACAGGAGTGTTACCAATGCTCAGAAAGAACCTTATTATCAGGCTGCAGTTAGTTTGTGAATGGACTACTGTGAGCTGCATGCTGGTAATGAAATG